TATATATATATATATATATATATATATATATATATATATATATATATATATATATATATATATATATATATATATATATATATTCTTTTCTCTTTATATTTTTATTCAAGGCAACCTTTTCTGATCTCCCATGCTGCTTAGTAATTTACTAAATTTACGTATTAACTCATTATTTTACAACAATAATTATTATAATTTTTTTTCATATAAAACATCCATATAAAACAAAATATTAAAATGTTGACATTTTATTCTCTGAATGTATATACAAATGTCTGTGATTTATATAAATACAGAATGAAGAAACACTAAAATATAAAAAATGTATATATTTAGAAAACAAACATTATAGTTTTGGTTTACTGAGGTAAGGCTGTATATACGTTCATTTCAAATGAATTAATAAATAATAGATTTATGAATAAGACATTTGTAACCTTCAAAATGCTTTATTTCATATTTTAAAGGCGGCACGGTGGCTCAGGGGTTTGCACTATCAACTCACAGCAAGAAGGTGGCTGGTTCGAGTCCCAGCTGGGCCAGTTGGCATTTCTGTGTGGAGTTTGCATTTTCTCCCCGTGTTGCTGTGGGTTTCCTCCAGGTGCTCCATTTTCCCCCACAAGTCCAAACACATGTGCTTTAGATGACTTGAATAAACTAAATTGTTGTGTATGTGTGTGAATGCAAGAGTGTGTGGGTGTTTCCCAGTGTTGGTTTGCGGCTGTGTAAAACATATGCTGGATAAGTTGGCGGTTCATTCCGCTGTGATGACCTCTGGTGAGGGGACTGGTGAAAGGGACTATGGGGAAGGAAAATGAATAAATGAATGTTTAGTGACTAAAGGCTGTACATATTTTAAAAATGAATAGTTGAAATTAATGAATTAAACACGTTTTGAGGGCTTCTAAGTGCTTTAAAATATAATAATTATTATTATTATTTATTTTTTTATATACTTAACAACACCCTTATTTTGAACGGTGCACTTTTTTATTTATTTTGGTGTATATATTATATTTTTATTTTGTTTAGTATGCATAATTCTACAATATTTTGAAAGTGCATAGACAGTGTTATAGCTGTTTGGTTTGTTTCTTATTTTATTTTATGCATAATTCAATCATATTTGCATTTAAACTGCAATGTAATGTAAATGTAAAGGGACTAAGAGGAAGGTTAATGAATAAATGAATGTTTAGTGACTAAAGGCTGTACATATTTTAAAAATGAATAGTTGAAATTAATGAATTAAACACGTTTTGAGGGCTTCTAAGTGCTTTAAAATATAATAATTATTATTATTATTTATTTTTTTATATACTTAACAACACCCTTATTTTGAACGGTGCACTTTTTTATTTATTTTGGTGTATATATTATATTTTTATTTTGTTTAGTATGCATAATTCTACAATATTTTGAAAGTGCATAGACAGTGTTATAGCTGTTTGGTTTGTTTCTTATTTTATTTTATGCATAATTCAATCATATTTGCATTTAAACTGCAATGTAATGTAAATGTAAAGGGACTAAGAGGAAGGTTAATGAATGAATGAATGTTTCGTGACTAAAGGCTGTACATGATATTTAAAATTAATGGTTAAAATGAATTAATAAACACGTTTTGAGGGATTCTAAGTGCTTTACATTGTTATTATTATTATTATTATTATTATTATTATTATTATTATTATTCCCCTAATTTTAAAGCGTGCACTTTTTATTAATTTTGGTTTATTAATTTATTTTTATTTAGCGTGAGTAATTCTACAATGTCTTGAAAAATGCATGCTGTTGTTAACATTAGACTTTTATAGCTATTTGGTTTATTTCTTATTTTATTTTCTTTTGCACATAATTCAATCATATTTGCATTTAAACAAAAGTACATGCATTATTTTCAGATTCATTCTACGGAGAAAAAAAAAACTGTCACTGCTAAATGCTCTGCATACCAAAATAAGAGGTAACAAAATATAAAATGTTATGCTTAGTCTTTTGATATTTTAATGTATATAAAACTACAGCTGTGAGTTTTGGTGTACTGAGGTAAGCCAACACTGCAAAAAAAAAATGTTTTTCTTACTTTTTTCTGACTTTTTCTTAGATGTTTTGTCTTGATTCTTGTCCAAATATCCAAAAGTTCCTAAATCAAGAAGCAGTTTCTAGACAAGCAAAACATATTGTCTTGTTTTGAGAAATAATATGCCAAAATGAAGTGAAATTTTCCCTAAATCAAGCTAAATAATCTGCCAATGGGGTAAGCAAAATAATCTTATCACAAATCGAAAAACAAGATTATTTTGCTTGATTTGAGGAAAAACACACTTCATTGTGGCATATTATTTCTTAAAACAAGACAGTATGTTTTACTTGTCTAGAAAATGCTTCTTGATTTAAGAATTTATAGATATTTGGACTAGAAACAAGACAAAAAATCTAAGTAAGAAAAGTATTTTTTTGCAGTGTATATTAATAAAATTAATAAAAAAAGATTAAAAACAGCTTTATGAATAAGACATTTGTAACCTTTAAAGTGCTTCATTTGATATTTTAAACAACAAAACATTTATTTTTGATTGGTGCTTTTAATAATTAATGATGGTTTATATATTTTCCTAGCATAACACTGTTACACCAGTTTTTTAATGCATAAATCAATTATTTTTGCATTTAAACAAAAGTGCATGTATAATGCATATATTTATTCAATAATAAAACTGTTACAACTAAACACTCTGGATAACAAACTAAAATGTTTTATTTTGGGATTTTTTTTTCTCTGTAGTTTTATGTGCATGGACCGCATATGAAGTGTGAGGCTCATTCAACAGAATCGGAGCAGCTTCCTCTTAGGACACCCCACCCAATGGCACGGTGCCCTGCGCAGCTGTACAACTGACACACAGTGTTTTCACACACAGCTCTCGGCCCTCAGTTCACATCCAACACACTACACACAAACACTCAGTGTAATACAGTAGCTTTACTCTGCTGGAATTTCATGAGGCATCAGACCAAACAAAGTGAATATGAAGAACATGTGTTGTTGTTGTGGAGTGAGTTTAGCAATACACTGTTGTAGAATTTAATATCAGACGAAATGTAATGTGCATATGGTATGTGCGTACATTATTTAATATTTAAATGGTAGCCATAAATGTAACTTATGCGAGAGTGTATATATTTTTAACAGGACTCTTAGTTTTATAACTCCACGAAAGCCCTTCCCATTCAAAAGGGGAGGGTCTTCAGAACTGCAGCCCAACCCTGCTGTTTCCGATTGGATCTCAGTACTCCCAACGCCTCTTGCTGTCCAATGAAAAGTGCTATAGCGCATTTACGTCATAGCTTTTGCAGCGGTGAATCCGATTTCCCTTCATAAGGTGAATCAGCTGTTTCGTGGCCACATTGTTGTTTTTATGAGTGCGGTAGGGCGATTTTATTATTACTCGAATTAGCGTTATAAATGCTCTGAACGAATGTGTATACCTACATAGTATACGAGTGAACTCTGTTGTAACATAACGAACAGTTTTATTGTTGTTGTAATAGTACAAATGCCTAATAAAGACCAAACCTACTGAAATTAAAGATAAACACAAAAAACAATATTTTAAATATTGTAAAAAACAATAGTACATAGGCATATTATATATTTATGTAGCTAGCTAACTAGCTTGATGCTAGATATACTAACTAAACATTCATTCATTTTCCTTTGGCTTTGTCCCATTAGTTAGCAGGGGTCTTTACAGCAGAATGAACCACCACTAACTAAACAGCAAAATAAATAATAATATTCATAGGTTCTTCTAAATTGAGCAAAATATTTCAAATTTAAAATAACCTTCTCACAATTTACTTGTATTTATATTATCATCATCAGTAGTAGTAAATGTATTTATATTATTATCATCATTGTATTAATGCCTAAATGGTGTGAATTATTAAACAGATAATAAAATTAATTCAAAATTAAAATCACATGTAATTATTACTATTATTCATTATTTTTCCTTCGGCTTAGTCCCTTATTTATCGGGCCGCCACAGTGGAATGAACTTCCTATTATTATTATTTTTTTTAAATCAAATATTTCACATAATTCCTATTGGTGCAGCAGTGTTTTTTAGTGTTAATATGAAATGTAAGTAGATATATTATTAAGAATATTGATCATTTTAATAATAGATTAATATTTAGATGTTTGATATATTGTCTTTTTATTTTAACATTTAGATATTGTATTACGAGTTGTTATAAAAGAATATTTTTGTCACCAAACATCTTCAGAAATTGAAATATAATACAATTAAATTCAAACAAAATATTGCAAAAAAAATGACAACAAAAATTTGGCTGTACTAGTTTTTTAGACCGTTTTCATAAGTTATTTTGTTAGATAAGCTCCAGATTTGGCTTCAGTAAGGACTAATCTAATGTATATGCACAAATATAACATTGTATAGCTTTCTATGAAAAATGTACATTTAAAAGAGAGATTTGTGAGGGGTGTACTTGTATATGCTAAAGTGGTTCGAAAGACAAAGACAAAGGTCCAAAATTTTTCCCACATGAGCTCATTTGTGTTATTTTGGCTGCTATGCCATCATAAATTGTGAAAATAACCCATTAAAAAAAGGCTTTAAGACTAAGTGGAATCCTTGGCTGTTGCTTCGCTGTGATTTCAGATAATCAGTTTTGATCAATGCAAACAATTATTTCTCATAAGTCCAACATCCATCTGTTCAAGAAAACACAATCTGACTCAAGAGACGTCATCTTTCAGTACTGTATTGTTTTTAAACAAAAAAATGACCAATAAAAAGGTGTGAAGCACTAAAAGAGACCCATTTTAAAATTAATTTAAATACTATTTTGGCTAAAGCTCTACATTATTATTATTAGTACGTCAACATTTTTATTATTCAAAGGGCCAAATTCTGACTGAGGAAAGTTGAATGGGCTGGCTAGTTAGTTATTTGCCTAATAAATGGTAATAGACCACAGTTTTTAATTTAAAACTTTAACAGATTCCTTTTTTTCTAATATGATACATTTGTATTTTAAAAATAAGTATTTATTCATGCTTCTTTGCTCTAAATGTTTAGAAAATGTTTTTGGTACATCAAAACATATGGTTATGATGACCCCCAACAAGCTAATTCAGCTAAAAACAGTGCTTAAAATGTCACAAAAAATGCAGTATTAAAATTTCAGAATTAAATAGAAAATGAGGCGAATAACCCCCAAAAAGGTACAGTTTTTGAAGGTAAAAAAAGAACCACCCCTTTCACCAGGCGGGCTACGGACCTGAAATATTAAGGAAAATAACAATGCATATTAATGTGGCCGGCGTTTCCGTTAAACAAAGAATTACTCGCTCTGTGCCGCTCTGAATGCGAACGTTGTGAAAGGAGTAAATACCCACACGCGAGAGTACCTGTTGGACCTACAGGAAAGCGCAAACTGGAGACAAAACAGCAGAAACAAGGAAAACAAAACGAACTGAAAGGGAAACACAAGGGACGTCTCTGGAATTCCTCGTTGGGTGTAACTTTCAGCCCTCAGACCGGTAGTTGAGTCTCACATCGGGGCCTCGGGAAATGATGACTGGGTGAGAAATGAACGCGCCGTTACCGCAGAAAAATAAGCGAATCTGCTAAGCGGCTGGCGAACACCAAAACAATGAGTGTGTTTGTCTTTGTGGACAGAAATGATGATTGCGGAGGGTGTAAAAGTAGCAGAGTTTGAGGGAAGCTAACAGGCTACTCAGCCACACCCTCCCGCCGCTTCCTGATACGCAAGATGTAGCGGGAGACTCACAACCGACGCGCGACTCTTTCAACGGTAAACCAAGTTCGTTACCGATTTCGGAAACTGTATTAAAACTCCCATTAACGGAATGGCAGGCGAAAGCGAAACTATCTGCCTCTTGATGTCCGTCGCTTTTCTGCTGGAGAGGGCGTGTGGACAATAGATATGCATAAGGAACTGAGTTTTCCCACGGAACTTGGATTGTGTTCGAAAAAGGAACGGCTGGAAGTCGTTCTAGAACGTCTGACGAGTTTTGGATTTGTCGCGGGATGATGGTGCCGTTGGCGGCGGGGCGCACACGCGTCTCGCTTCGGTCGGAGGATCAGCAAGAGGGTCAATACATCATCATCATTATCAGCAGCAGCAGCAGCAGAATCACATTGTTAAACGTGGATCTAAATGCAAGTCATTTACATGGCACGAAGAACACCTGAAATGATACGTAGCGATTCTGGAAGTCAACCTGCACTTTGCCTTTATCCGGGCATCTTCTCGTACATGGCACTGCAATAGCCCTTTTCCTGTATTTTTATTTTTTAAAGAGAGAGAGAGAGTGTGTTTTTGGTTTCTTTGCATTGTTGGAGCAACATTGACAACCTGTGAAACTGAACAGACTAGCCTACCTTCACAAAGGTAGTTGTGAATTTTTTTTGAGGAGGGTGATTATGCACAGCTATATCAGATTATTTAAACAATAGGCTACTCAGTTTTATTAATTGATTAATTGATTGAAGGGATATTTAATTAGATCTTTCGTCAACATTTGTTAAACAAAAAATATATATATTTTTCTGAAGTACTTCCCTCCTATTCCGAGTGCATCGAGTGAAGTTTCATGTTTTCGCAAACAAGCTGAATAGACTTTATTTTTCTTCTGAAGGACATCATAGGCCAGTTTCACTCCGTGAGAAGCTGTGGAAGTCTTTTAATTTACTGAAGAAAATGACATGAGGCACATGTTACCACACAAGAGTGTGTGTTGCCATCTTTATTTTGAACATTAGAGCGACCACACTACTATGGCTAGTAGTGGCTCGGGGAAATCAGATAGCGAGGTTCCTACCAACATCCTTAGCGGCAGCTTGCAACAAAGGAAAAGACTTTTATCCGTCTGCGACGCATGCAAGAGCAAAATGCAGCTGGTGGCCGACCTGCTCCTGCTGTCCAGCGAAACCAGGCCGGTGGTGAACACTGAAGGCCAGCCTGTAGCTGAGACCTTCGAGAAATGCCGCGACACAGTGATCGCCAGAACCAAGGAGCTGTCTATTATCGTTCATGACATTCAGAGCCAACTCAACATGGGGAAGTTCCTGGAGGTTGGCGACCGGCTGGTGGAGATGGGGGATCTGGTGGTCTCATTGACCGAGTATTCAGCGCACGCTGCTTATTTAGCAGCTGTGGAGATCCCGGGGTCTCAAGCTGCAGTTTCAGGCCTGGTGGATCGGTATAAAGTCACTCGATGCCGGCATGAAGTGGAGCAAACATGCAACATTCTGCGCCTCACAGCAGTGGGGGATCTAACACCTCCGCTTCTTCTGGAGGTCTCGCAGAACATCCTGAAGAACCTCACCATGCTCACGGACGCCTCTTCTCTGGCCAGTGATAAATCTAAGGATAAGTTCGCTAAGGAGCAGTTTAAAGCTAGTGTCAAGTGCATGAGCACCAGTGCTACAGCTCTGTTAGCGTGTGTCCGCGAGCTCAAAGCCTGTCCCAGCGAGCTGACCCGGAACCGATGCGTCCTCTTTAGCGGGCCGCTCATCCAGGCCGTGCATGCTTTGGTGGGATTCGCCACAGAGCCGCAATTCCTGGGCAAAGCTGCCAGCATCACCCCTGATGGCAAAGGGGTGCAGACTGCGGTTCTGGGCGGCGCCATGAGCGTGGTTTCGGCCTGCGTGCTCCTAACTCAAGGCCTCAGGGATATTTCCCAGCACCCCGAAAGCAGCCAGCAGATGCCCGTCTATCGGGAGCGGCTACGAAACTCAGCATGTGCCGTCTCTGATGGATGCACACTCCTGTCTCAGGCACTAAGGGAACGATCCTCACCTAGAACTTTACCGCCAGTTAACTCTCATTCTGTGAATTAAGTCCTCCCCGGCACCCTGTTCAATTGTTATGTTTTAGTTGATTTTATTCTTATTATTTTTTTGAAGTACCAAAGAATCTAATCAGGTTTAACCCCACATGGTATGAGTTAGGGCTGGGCGACGCAGTGAATATTGGATTCGGTTTGGTTTTATTGATGATTTAACATTGTGGAAATGTCAAAAGTTTTTTTTTTTTACAATAAATTAAACAGCATCAGG